TTGACCTCTTCTCCTCTGTCTAAGCTCAATCCCTAGGTGGTCCTATCTAGTCTCATGGCTTTACAAACTATCAAAATCAGTGGTTTTAAAGTGAGGGTAACGTCAGTCCCCCCAGGGACATTTAGCAATGTCTGGAGATATTTTCAGTGTCACAAGTGGGGAAGGAGGGCAATAGTGACATCTAGTAGGTAGAGGCCAGGAATGATGGTAAACATCCTTCAATACACAGGACAACCTCCCACAACAAAGAGTTATCCATTTCAAAATGTCAGTAATACTGCGGTTGAGAAATGCTGATCTAAATGACAGTGGTTCCCTGTGATGGTTAAGGTTGTGTCACCTTGGCTGGGCAGTGATTCTCAGTGGTTTGGCAGTTATGTGATGATGTGATTTGGCAGTTATGTAATTGTGATGGTTAAGATTGTATGTCAACTTGGCTAGGCCATGATTCTCAGTGTTTTAGTAGATGTATAATGTTGTGATCACTTCCCTGTTGAAATTTGATATGTGATCACCCCCATAATGGAATCTGCTGAGTGGTACTGGTGGGGGCAGGGCCTATGGCAGCTCACCGCCCCCTCAGCTTCATCTCTCTGCCTTCTGCCAGTTACTTTCTGCCTGCTTGCCTTGCCAAAGTTTTTAGCTTGTTCTAGATTCAGCAGCTGCTTCTTGTCCTCTCACCTCTGGTTGTTGGGACTTGAGCTAGCAGCTTACCTGTCGATCTTGGAATTTCTCGATCTTCACAGCCTATGAGCAAGGGTCCTGTTTCCTGACCTGCTGATGTTGGGTTCACTTGCCCCTGCAGCTACATGAATCAGGAGAAACCTTGCGGTCTTGTCTGCTGATCTTGGAATTCGTTGACCTTGACAGCCTATGAGCGGGAGCCCTGCCCTCCAACCTGCCGACCTTGAGTTTGCCAGCTTCTGTGGCTGCGTGAATTGGGAGAGGCCTCTACCCTAATCCATGGACTTGGGACGTTTTAGACTCTACAATCGCGTGAGCTGTTTTCTTGATAGAAATCTCTGTCTATATATACTTACACTTTACTGGCTTTGCTTCTCCAGAGAACCCAGCCTAAGACAGTAATGATGTAGTTATCTTCCATTTTGTGATATAATGTAATCACCTCCATGATGTGATCTGATGTGATCAGCCAATCAGTTGTAAGGGGAGTTTCCTTGGGGGTGTGGCCTGCAACCAATATATTGGATGTTCTGGCAAAGCTTGGTGGCTTTTGCTTGCCCTGAATCCTGCATCCAGCTCATCATCATCTAATCTCTAGTTCTTGGGACTTGAGCCAGCAGCCTGCTGTATTGGCTGACTATCTTGGGATTCATTGGCCTCCTCAGCCTGTGAGCCAGCAACTTGCCATCTGACTGGCCAATCTTGGGTTTATCAGCCCCTGCAGCTACGAAAGTCAGGAGAAGCCTCCAGCCTGACGCCTGGCCCACGGACTTGAGACTTATCTGTTACCACATAACAAACCATCCACAACTTAGTGGCTCAAAATAACAACAATCACTTATTTAGCTCATGAATCTGCATTGTGGACAGTGCTCAGTGAGGAAGACTTATCTCTGTTCTACAATGTCTGTGGCCTCAGCTGGGATGACTTGAAGACTATGGGAGTGATAGCTGGGACCTGGAATCATCTGAAGGCTTTTTTACTCACATGTCTGCCTGTTGATGCTGGCTGTCAGCTGGAACCAGAGCTGGGCCTATCAGCTGGAACACTTAACTTAGTCTCTCAGTGCAGCTTGGGCTTCCTCACAGCATGGGAGCTGGGTTCCAACACTGAGCATCTCAAAAGAAAGAACCAGGTACAAGATGTATTACTTTTTTTACTTAGCCTCAGAAGAACCATAGCGTCACTTCTGCTGTACTCTATTTGCCATCATTCACTAATTCATAATTCATCATTATTAGGTTGCCTACTATGTGCAAGGCACTCTTCTGTTGCTGGAGATACAGATATGAACAGAACAGTAAAAAAATCCCTGCCTAGATGTAAAAATGGTGTGGTGGAGGCATCTGACTTCCTGTAACTTCAAGAAGAGGAGAGAGAATCATTATCAGCATCAACAGCCCAAGGCTGATTCCTGTGAGGCAGAGGTCGGACATACCTCCTCTCTCCAACCTTTTTAGCAATTCTGACACCAGCCATCCCTCCCACAGCACTCTGCTTCTCTGCTGGGTTCGATAATTGCAGTGGCCACACAGAACTCACAGACAATGCTCACAATTATGGGGCTTGTTAGGGAAGTAGCAGGTTATAACTCAGGATCAGAAATGACGCAGAATACAGTTCTTCAATCAAGACAGCCTCTTCTCAGCTGTGCCCGCAGGCAGGCCTTTGTCTCTGGCCCTCGGCCCCTTTGCCTCTCAGCGTGGCCTCTGCCCTGCTTAGGCAAGCATTACAAATCTCTTTAGCTCTGCCGGTAAGTGCCTGGGGGCACCCCACTCTACCTGTAAGCCTCAGCCTAAAGGCTCTCAGCTCTCTCACCCTGTGGGTTAGCAAGCCTAGCTCCACTGACAGGTACCCAGAGGCACCCCAGTCCACCAGGAAGCCTCCTGCCCAAAGGCACTTAGCTCTCTCGCTCCATAGGTTGGCATACCCACTGTAGCCCCTTCACTCTGTGGGGCAGGAAGCCTACTGTGTCATCTCACGCCAGTCTTCTGGTTCTGCTGCTGCCAGTTCTCTGTTGTGCTTGCCGTTGCTTCTTGCTGTCTTGTGCTTTCTCTGGTGTTAGAGCTGCCTGCTCCTGAGTCTAGGAGGTTCTCAGCACAGGGATTTTGGGTCCAAAGGATGTGTTCCACTCAAGCTTTTCTTCTTGGTGGTAATGCACCCCCCTCCCCATGCTTGTTTCTATCTCCTTTTATCTCTTGTAAGATAAAAGGTGTGACTCAAGTAAGTGCATGACTTGAATAAGGGTGGCAAGGATGATGACTGGGGTAAGGGTGGTGGCTTGAGTCACACCCTCTAATAAGGCGGTGACTCAAGATACATCCCGCCCTAGTCCTACCTCATTAACATACAACTCACTCCAAAATGGGATCATAACCACAGGCATAGAAGCTGAGATTCACAACACATCACAAAATGTAGGATAATTATATCAGATCATAAAATGGAAGATGACTGTGTCATTACATAACTGCCAAGCCACTGAAAATCATGACCCAGCCAACTTGACACATAACCTTAACCATCATAGGTCCCATACACCTTATTTTCATAGTCCCACCCAATCATTGTGTGGAAGTCATAAAGACTATGGCTAGAAGGGCCATATTAAGTAATTGCACTGCAGGCCACCCCCTGGCTCTTCTAGCCATTGGCCCTTTCATACTTGAAGGATTCACTTCCCCTTCCCAATATTTTACCAGTCCAAAACAGTCATTAACAGTTAGTTCTTCAGTAAAGCAAAAGAGTCCTCAGGGTGAAGTTACTCAGGCACAGCCATTCAGGTCTGCTCTAGGTATCCATTTGATCTGGTCAGGTTCTCCAGAAGTGATCTCGGCTTCACCCTTTCTGGTGTCTGATACAGTTTAACTGAGAGAAGATTATTCTCTTGCTCTGAGCCTCATGAGGTATTGGCATAGCAAAACCTTTAAGGGACTTTAAGTTTGGCCACTGTACTCCAGTCCAGCAATGCCTCCCGCTTAGTCCACTCTTTCACAGTTGCTGCTTCTACAATTACAGTTTTTACAATCACAACTAATACTGTTAACAATCAACACTCACAACTGCATCATATAATCCCATCAGCGTCTTCCCCCACCTGCTCTTCTGCCACGCCATTTTTACACTAGTGGAGATACACAGTAAACAAATACATGTGTAAAATATGTAGTATGTGAAGTGGTGAAAAGTACAAAGGATAAAAATAAAGCAGAAAGGGGGATAGTGCCGGAGTTTGTTTCACAATTTTAATTGAATGATCATGGAGGACCTCATTATAAGTTGACATATGATCAGAGACCTGAAGGAGATGAAAGCAGAAACCATAAGGATACCTGGGGAAAGAGCATTCTAGACAGAGGCAACAGCAAGTACAAACGCCGACGTGACAGCATGCTTGGCGTTTTCAAGGAACAGTAAGGATGCGACCAGAGTTGCAAGAGTGTGAGCAAAGGCTAGAGTGATAGGAAAGGTACCTCTGGGCCCTGTCTGTTCATTGTGCATCTGGAAACCCTGGTTTTAATTGTAAGCTTGAGTTTAGAGAAGTCGGGCTTTGTGTAATTACAGGATAGAGGTTAGTGCACAATATGTGGCAGGCTTATAAAATAGAGGAAACCATAACAGAGTGAGGAAGATGTACTCCCTCTTTATGCAGGCCTTGAAAATTTCAGGGAGGGGAAGAGAGCTTGTGGAAAGGAAGAGGGCACCTTCTCCTTGCCACATCTTATTTATTAGTAAGGTAAAATACTCGGCTCTATTTCTGGTCCCTGGAAGATGTTTTCATTAAATCCCCCTCCTTCTCTGAAGGCTGGTCTTTTAAATCAGGCTGAGGTGATGGCACCTGTGAAAATTTTTCTCACTCTGGGAAGTAGCTACTGCACTGGTTTGTCGGGGCTGCTGGAGGAGGGAGATAATGGGTTTCACTGCTGCAGGGTTTGCAGTTTCATCCCTTCTGATGTGGCCAATGTCCTGTGCTTGGTCCTTGATAGAGGCAGATCAAATGTCCTGCTTCAGCAGGGGCTAGGTGATCAGATCTGTGGAAGGAGAGAGGAGAACATGAAGAGTCCCTTCCTCTCCTGGGCCACTTGTATTTTCTTTGTTCTTGGAAAGATCTGATCCTGTAGCTGGCAGGAGTTAGGGTATTGAAGACGTTAGGGGTGATGGATGACATGTTATCTGAGGAAGCAGATAACTGGGCTGAGGTTGTAGGTAAGTCAGGATACAGATGCCTCAGCAGAGTGAAATGGAGAGGGCGGAATTAGATGGCAATGAGTTACAAGGAGAATGTCTCAATAATCTCACGTGTTTTCTCCCTTAGGTTGCCTTAAAAATGCTTTTTACTGGGGAGCCCATTTCTGCTCAGGAGGCCTTGTCCCATGGTTTGCTCAGTAAGGTAGTGCCAGAAGAGCAGCTGGAGGAAGAGACCATGAGGATAGCAAAGAAGATTGCTTCCTTGAGCCGGCCTGTGATGTCTTTGGGCAAAGCCACGTTCTACAAGCAGCTGCCCCAAGACCTTCAAACAGCCTACTGCCTCACCTCCCAGACCATGGTGGACAGCCTGGCCCAACAGGATGGGCAGGAAGGAATCAAGGCCTTCATCCAGAAGAGAAAACCCATCTGGTCACATTGAGCTGATATTAACAGAGGAATGGAAGGGGAATGAGCCCAGCGGGCAGCACTCAGAGGCCCACCCACACCCCTCACCTTCTGATTCTCCAACCACCACAGCTGCCTCTTGATTGTAATAGAAGACACTCTATTTTTATAGCATTAATATTGGTTTCACTGCATGTGGTCTATATTAATAGCCATGGTTCCATAGGTAAGTGAAGAGGGTAAATGGAGAATAATGGAATAGAGAGGAAAACAAAGCACCAACTTAAGTGGAAGATTAGTAAGCACCTCTGCTGGGCCAGCTATTAGAGAAAGCCCGGTATTTGATCTATTCCTCCTTCACAGGACCTTAAGTGAGGGATCACCCTTATTATATAAGAGAAGCTGGTGATAAACTGAGGCATGGAAGAAGGGTGCCAATCTGAAATGTCCTCTAAAGTGAAGTTAATTCTAGTTGCTCAAGAGAAGTGAAACGTTTCAAATCTTCACAAGATATTCACACTGAAAATCTTCTTGATTCTATTGAGAAATAGTCATGCCTATGGCTTTGGAATAATTTTATGTGATTTAAATAGATTAAATATTTATAGAGACTGGTAATTTTATCTTCCCAACCAGACTTCGCGCAGTTTGAGAAAAGAAAAAAAAAAAAAATTGATTAACTCTTCCTTTGTGTGCCGATGGGGATATGGTAGGTGCCTTATGTTTCTGTAATGAATGCTTTTGCCATCCGAGATCCTGCAAAACCAAGACCCTGGGCTAAACCTGAAGATACAAACTGAAGAGAGGTGGGAAGGGAAGCAGAACATATACTCCTACCCAATAAGAATCACCTTCCCTGATAAGTCAGTCACAAAAGGATAAATACTGTATGAAATATCTAAAATAAGCAAATGTATAGAGACTAAAGTTTATTAGTGGTTACCAGGAGCAGGAGGGAAGCAGAAAAGGAGAGCCATTGTTTAGAAAGCATTGAGTTTCTGTTTATGGTGTTGGGAAATTTAGCAATGGATATGGGTGATGATTGCACACTGTGATTAATCAATATTGCTGAATTATACATGTAAAAAATGTTGAATTGTCAAATGTGTTATATATATTTTTACAACAATTAAAAAAAAAATCACCTTCTTGGGACACATTTCTGAACTCTACTTGGCTTCGGGTAAAGAATCCAAACTAGCATCAGGTATTTGAGTTCCCCAATTGAGCGCACTGGCTTAGGACCTGCCGTGGATTGAATTGTGTCCCCCCAAAATATATGTCAACTTGGTTAGCCCACGATTCCCAGTATTGTTTGGTTGTCCTCCATTTTGTGATTTTCCTATGTATTGTAAATCATAATCTCTGCCTGTGGTTAAAGAGGATTAGGGTGGGATGTAACACCCTTGCTCAGGTCACATCCCTGATCCAATGTAAAGGGAGTTTCCCTGGGCCGTGGCCTGCACCACCTTTTGTTTTACAAGAAATAAAAAGAAAGGGAAGCAAGCAGAGAGTTGGGGACCTCATACCACCCAGAAAGTAGCACCAGGAGCAGAGTGTGTCCTTTGGACCCAGGTTCCTGTGCAGAGAAGCTCCTAGTCCAGGGGAAGATTGATGACAAGGACCTTCCTCCAGAACTGACAGAGAAAGCCTTCCCTTGGAGCTGACACCCTGAATTTGAATTTTGACCTACTAGACTGTGAGATAGTTAACTTCTGTTTGTTAAGGCCATCCACCTGTGGTATTTCTGCTACAGCAGCACTAGATGACCAAGACAGGACCTAAAAATATTACTCTCTGGCTTCTGCTCTAATGGGGCCCAAGAAATGTGCTAAATATCTTGTCCTCAAGCTTGCCTATAAGGCTAACTTTTTTTTTTTTAAGCCAGTTTATTTCACCTTAGAGTAGAATGTGCCCATAAACGTGATTAGTATCAACTCTGGAGATAAAGAGAACCATATAGACCTAAGCTGTATTCTTCATTCAGATTACTAGGGCAAGTGACTCATGGTATGAATGTCTCCTAGTGTTTTTACAGGTTTCTGTTGAGTTTAGAAATTTTTTTTTTTTCCTTTGCCAGAGTTTGGAAAGGTAGATAAGAGTGTATCCTCGAAAAGGAGGAGCTTGTTACTAAGAGTGCTACTCATGAATAGAAAAATAATTAGAGCTACCATTGATTGGACACCTAGTTTTGGGCCAGGCACCCTCTATACATTTTCATTTAATCTTCATGAGAACCCAATAGAGTAGGTACTGTTATTATCTCCATTTTATAGACGAGTAGTTGAGACTCAGGTTCCACGTATTGCCCAAAGTCAAACTGCTGAGACTGTGTAGAATGAGGATTCCAAATCCTGTCTCCTTGATAATGAAACCATAGATACTCTTTTTGTTGACCACACTGCCTCACAGGAAGACGCTGGGCTGGCGTGAGGCTAGTGTGGGATCAGCAAGCCTAAAGAAACGACCTTTCTACTCCATGGCAGTTGTCCAATACAAAGGAATGGACAAAGTACTCCTTGCCACACAATTTTGCTAGTGTGCAAGGGACATCAGGTTTGATTATTGGCAGACTGCTAATGGAGTTTTTACAACCAAGCTAATAAATGTCTGACTGAAGTTTCTAAACTGGGTTGTGAAGGACTGGCTGTCATGGTTGGCTGGGAGAGAATGAGGGTCAGTGGGGCACACACTATACATCTACTCCAGATGGCCTGCTGTAGAAGTCACTCCCTAATAGTTGCTGGATCACACAGTGTAGAGAAGAAGGTGATCAAAATTCTTTGAGCTTTTGAGAAACTTAATTTAAATAAACCTTCTCACACATTTGGCAAATGAAAATTAAAAGTTAACTTTCCAATTTTTGTATAAGTATGTACTATGCCCTCAAACCGTGGAGTTCTCAGGCCTCTGGGCTGACTTCCCAGTCTGTGAGCTGATGTGTACTCAGGGACTAGCTATAAATTTTAATAGTAGCCTGTGCAGAAAGTAATCAAAAGGAAAATCTGCTACCCTCTCTCCAATGTAGAATTCATCCCCAAGGCAAATACAAATTTTTGGTTTATTTGTATCTCTGCTTCCTTCCACCAGGGTATTGAATGAAAATTTTACACGTGATGATTGCTTTTGGAAGGCCTATTATATTCATCTTTCCCTCTGTGCCGTTTGCTTCTCAGAGATCTGAGGTGACTGAGCTCAGCCCAGCAGGCTATCCCCCAGCAGGGTCAGGAGCTATAAAGTAAGCGAGATGGTTATTCATTTCTGCACACCCTGTATGACCCCTAGAGAATATAAACAAAAGAAGTGAATGACAGAACACCAGCCCCTTGATTTATTTTATGCCAATAACTTTGGGGGAGTTACCATGTGAGGGCACATGGGGATTTTTCCAGTTGTCATGGAGTCAACGCCTACTCATGGCAACCCCATGTGTGTCAGAGTAGAACTGTGCTCTATAGGGTTTTCAATGGCTGATTTTTCAGAAGTAGATTGCCAGACTTTTCTTCCAAGGTGCCTCTGGGTGGACTTTAACCAACATCCAACCTTTCGGTTAGCCAGCCGAATGCATTAACCATTTGCACCATTCAGGAACCCGTACATGGTGATTTTGTTGTTGTTGTGTGCCATCAAGTCAATTCCGACTCATGGCGACCCTATATGAAGAATAGAACTGCCCCATCAACAGTCAAGGTTAAGTCTCTTTTTAAAATTCTTTAGTCTTTTTAAATCTAGAACAGTTCAGTCACTCTCTGTTCTTTTAATGACATTAACTTTTTGTGCTTCCTGGCATCACATTCCAAATAAACAACCTTCACACAAGCCCTTGATTCAGTGTTTGCTTCGGGGGGAACCCAAACTAAGTCAAGAAGCTGATACATGTTAGGCATTCAATAAACTTTCCTCTCTTTTAACAAAAAAGTAAAAACAACATTTAGAAATTGAAGACATGTTATAATGAAGCCATAGGATTGAATGCTAAATGGATACTATTGACAATAATTACAGGAATCAAGGGGGAAATCAATTTTGTTGTTCACTAGTGGGACAATGGCATCACCCACATAAAGCTTAGCCTTTCCAAGCTGGAGGGGATCTCAGATCTATTAGCTTCGAAATGTGACATCACACAGACAAGGTGTAAATGATTAAAAAGAAGCAGACCAAGCCAGTATTGGTACCAACACCAGGATTCTTTGACTAGAAGCTGGAGCAGCCTCCGTGTTGACGTCCCCACAAAACTCTCGTGGTAAACCACCCAATAAGTGTTCTGGGCTTATTGTTGTTGTTAGCTGTCGTTGAGTCAGCTCCGACTCATGGCGACCCCATGTACGACAGAACAAAAGGTTGCCTGGTCCTGTGCCATCTTCACAATCATGGGTATGCTCAAGTCCATTGTCACAGCCACTGTGTATTTTGAGTGCCTTCCAACCTAATGGGCTCATCTTCCAGCACTATATCAGGCAATATGCTATACTGAATAGTCTATAAGACCAATTTTCACAAGTGGATCTATCTAGTCGGTCTTAGTATGCAAGCTCTGCTGAAATCTGTCCATCATGACCATGCTGGTATTTGAAATATTGGTGGCATAGTTTCCACCGTCACAGCAACAAGGAACTGGGTAGTGGGTTCTAGGCTCACTGGAAGTTTATTTAGCAACATTAGGAAAAAGGTAGAGCAGGTGTGTTGCCCCAAAACTCCCCTCTGGAGTTCCCATGAGAAGGAATTTATGAGCTGCTGCATCTCTAGTCCCCTCCTTGACATTTATTGGCTTTTTGATGAATGTTGGAGCAATTTTTCTGTCAACAGTTTCTCATTAGGGGCCTGGTGATGTTCTTTCTGACCATTATTTTACTCAATATCATGTCTGGTTGCTGTGAGGAGAAGAGGATCCACTTAGAAGCCATCCATCTTTGCAGCAGCAAAAAGCTCAGATAATCCCACTTAAATATGCCTGCGCTGACAGATGCCCCCAGGGCACTCGCGGAGAATGTAGACAAATGGCCCAGCTTTAATGAATCTCTCATCTCTGGCATCGTGCCTCCTCATTCCTTTAAAGATGTATTTCGGGTTTGATTCTCTCTGTTTCTTTTTGAAATAAATTATGGGGAACTTGTTGATGACATAATCACCAGGACTTAACTTTTTAGGGAAGCCAGATTCTTACAATAAATGACAAGTCTGACTTGGAAAAGTCTGAAGCTGGCAGGTGTTGGCTGAGGGTGTTCAGTTTCCTTAATGGGCTGTTTATTTCCCGCCTTCAAATGTACCATCTTAAAACGATGGTATAGGAAGGCATTTGGAGATTTCTGAAGTTTTTGTCATTCTTTAACATCAATATCCACTTTAATATGCCCACCTTCTCCTCCTCCTTCCCTACCACCAGATACATGAATCTAATCTAGAACGGCACATTTTTAAAAATTCTTTTTATGATGAACAATTTCAAACATATGTAAAAGTCCCAGTGAGAAACTATAATAAACCACCATGTACTCTTTACTCAACTTCAACAATTGTTAATTCATGGCCAATCTTGTTTTATCTACACTACAACCCCCTCCTCCCTGTCTTCTGGACTATTTCGAAGTGAATCCCAGATGAAATTTTTATTTTAACTATTTTATTTTTATGAGAGGGTACTGAGGCTTAACTGTTCCTCAAGTGTAGCTCAGTAGTAAGCAAGTCTCTCCCTGAACACAGTTCCCCAAAGGGCTGCCTGTTTAGATCCTGAGACATTAAAATGTCATCATTGTTTTGGGAGCAATTTTGGCCAAGGATCTGGGGCGGGGGGTCTTTCCCTGCAAAACCTGTTGCCGTCAAGTCAATTCCAACTCATAGTGAGTAGAACTGCCCCATAGAGTTTCCAAGGAGCAGCTGGTAGATTCACATGGCCAGCCTTTTGGTTAGCAGCCAAACTCTTAACCACTGTGCCACCAGGGCTTCCCCTACCAGCGACCAAAATAAGGTTTGTTTTATAAGTCAATGAGTTAAAGAGTCAGTACTCTTAAGAAATTCTTAAGGCATAGGTCAAAGAGTTTTCAGCAAGGACTTTTTTTTTTTTTTCTCAACAAAAGCTATTTTCTATTCAAGAAAACATTAAGTAATAATCAGATATTATCCACACTGGTTTCTCAGACCTGTGGTGAGG